TCACATGATGCAAGAAATGCACTGAAACAGTGAAAATCACTTTTATTTCCCAAGTACTTTGCATTCTTTTTTCAGATGCTGATCTCAGGAAGAGACGGAAAGTACATGTGAAATAAAAGTAATTTTCATGTTTAGTAGATTTCTTCATCGTTTGATTACAATCAAATGATGCAAGAAATGCACTGTACAAGGAAAAATAACCGTGAATATGAACGGATTATGCTAAAAATAAGCAGACATAATGTTTGGAATTTACTTAATCAGACATGCCTACAAGAGAATTTGCCGCCTAAATACAATATATATATATATATATATATATATATATATAGTAAGGTAAAAAAAAGAGTTCAATGTGTTCTGTTTATACAGAGCAATGTAATTAATAATCAAACAAATCCTTTTACCTCATATGGGGAATAGTCTATTTCGGCAGACGACAAAATGTCCGATTGAAAGAGATGAATATATTTATGTATATTCATGAAATAAATTATAACCGACATTCTTTGTTTGTTTTATAGCAGCTCGGATTGAGGAATCGGAGAGCCGAGTTCGAATTCCAGTCGAATCCATTACATTCACTTACGTGAATAATACCCTTGGGAAAGGTGTGAATCCTCTTCTCCCCCAGTCAGCTATGGGAAAATAGTAGGGTAGAACGAGTTCTATAGCCTTGGATGGCAACTGGTCTACCGCACAAAGAAATGGCATCCTACTGCGGGAAAAAAATCTGCCTCGTCAGTCATGTATCGAAAGATACATGATCACCTAAGCATTTATCACGCATGGCAAATAACTGACTGACTCTTTACATATATATTTCGGCAAATTCCTAATTACTAATTTCAACTGACATAAAACGGCTTATTTAGCAGCAGGGGAAAGTCGCCAAAAGTCTTAACAGACATTCTTTGTTTGTTTTATTGAACAAAACATTTATAAATGAAGGTTTACTGCTAAGCATTCTATTTTATGATATATATATATATATATATATATATATATATATATATATATATATATATATATCCACAGACAGACTATTTCGTTGTGTCAATGTGGCGAGATATCCGATTGCCTCAAGCCAGGATCGAAACTCGACTATATTTTATTTTATATGTGCAGTACTTAATGGAAAGCGCTCAAAATCAGTGATAGAGCTGACATATTCAGTTATATGTATATGAGTTTGTGACACTGCGTACACCTGTATGTGAGAGTGTCATCTCGACCAGGGAT